ATGGAGGCTTTAAGAGAGATAGAAAACCTAACTGTGGTCATATAACTTGTATTTGATTTTTTTGGGAGGGGGGCATAAGGTGAGACAGGGATTTGAAGTCAGTTCTTTGCATTTGCAAAGCAGGTGCTCTACCGCTTGAGCCATGGCTCCAATCCATTTTACTATGTTTATTTTTTGAAGATGGGGTCTCATGAACTGTTTGTCCAGGCTGACCTTGAACTGTGATCCTCCCAATAGGATTTTAGACATGAGCCACAGGTGGCTTGTATTTAATTTTAAACCTCCCTGTTCAAATTATTTACCCTTTTGTAAAGTAGAGTTTCCATTAGAATTGTCCTGCAGATGAAAGAAAATGACAAGTAATCTGGAACCAGTACTTAAAGACCTATGCTTCACTTTATCATTATGAAGTCTTCCAAGTCAATTAAGTTTGAAAATGAATGGAATTATCCTAATCATAGAGTGTGTATTCAACAATAACTGACGGAGTGCCAACACTGGCAATGGCCTCTCCTGCTGTTGCCACATCTGACTAATGTTTACAAGGACTTTTCAGAGATAGCCTTTGGAAAAGTAGTTGATATTTCTTCTGCTATTTCTAACTAATTTGTTTTTACAACTTTAAATTTCAGCCATTCCCCCAAATGGTTACCAATGCCCTGATAAGTCTAAAGGAAAGCCAAAATCATCTGTGGTTGTATGCCAACAGGCAACAGATCCTATGTGTGCTAAATAAATGTTTTCCAAAAATTATGGCTCTCCTCTTATATTGCAAACTTATCCCCAAGCAAAATTACCTCCTCTCCAAGTAGTTCAAGAAAGAGAAAGATGGTCATGTCTATAATAATTAGTGAAATTTAACTTACCTCACATAGACATAACCTTTTATGGCCACGGAGCACTTTTATATAAATTGTCCAGTACTCCTCTAATAGAAGTCCTATGAGGTGTCACATTTTAAAGATTAGGAAAGTGAGGTACAAAAATCAAGAGACTTTCCCAAGACTTAAGAACCTTGAGAGTATTAAGTTAGGGGACAGAACCTGTGTTTTTGTGTTCCCAGAGAAAGGAGAGGGAAAAAAATTACTGAGTAACAATGGGTATGAGCTATAAAACTTTCCAAAGTAAGTTAAATGTGAAAATAAAACAACTGGCAACAATATTATCTCGTGTATTTAATGTACATTCAAAAAGTTAAGACGGAATTTTTCTCTAAGAATAAATATCCATTCCTCAGGGTGTTTCACAAAAACAGGGCTCTGGAAGCCTGACTTTAAGATCCAACAAAGCAAAATGCCAGGCACACAAACTTAAAAAAAGCCCTGAACCTCTTCAGCTCAGCTTCTCCCTTTGTAAAACAGGCTTTCCTCATAGTTACAAGAATGAACACAAATATAATATATATAATAACATATATGTTATTAACCATCATATGTTTATAAAATCTGTTAGGCCCCAAACAGATTGGTTCACAGTGTTGATTTACTGAGTAGTCTCAGTTATTGGCATCTAGTCATTCAAAACAAAAAAATCCTAGTCTCCTTCCTATTACTCACCCTATAAAATTAAACTCCTTCAGGAGAGAGTTTAAACCCCTCTGCTAAAAAAGATCTTGCCTCACCTCCTGACATTTCTATAGATTTACCCCTTAATCCTGTCATAACAAGCCACTTCAGGTATCCTGATACTTCTGAAATTTATACCTTCATGCTTTGTACATGCTACGAATTCTTCTTAGGGCATTCTTACTACTACTACCCTTCCTCAGCTGGCTAATTTCTATGTGTTCTGCAAGTCTCAGCAAAAGTGATTCTAGGAAGCCTTTCCCAATCCTACTTCTCAAGTAGTGCTTTAGGCTTCTGCTGACCCTACACACACTCTTTTTTTAACCACAATCTACAAAGTATTTGTTCCATTTCTCCCCCAACATTAATCAACTTTGTTCAACAGAACTTTCTGTAATGATGGAAGTGATCCTTTTCTGAGCTAGTACAGTAATCACCAAGCACAGATTGCTATCGAGCACTCAAAATGTGACCAGTGCAGGGCTGAGGATAGAGTGGCTCAGTGGTAGAGTACTTGTCTATCATGTGAGAGACCCTATGTTCAATCCCCAGCACTGCAGAGATGATAGATAGATAGAGATAGATAGATAGATAAAACACCTATAAAAAATGGCTAATTCAACTAAGGAACTAAGTTTTTAATCTTCTTTAATCTTAATTATTTTAAACCTAAATTTAAATAGCCACCTGCAGCTATTGGCTATGGTACTAGACAGCACAGATCTAGGGAGACATCAACTCTGAAAACAGGACGGTGCTTGGGTCTGTATCTCTAACACCCGCCACAAGATTTGGCATGGAGTATTCAGTATTTGTTGAAAGAATAAATTAATGCGCAAATACCTATAAACATATCCTTCAACATTTGATCAACTTTGTTCATTAGACCAACTATTGCTGGGAAGGGATTTTACCCAATATCCAGAACATTCTAGATCCCTATATCAAATTTGGCAAACCCTAGTCATATCTTGTAAAGAACACCTCATTAACTAACATAAAAAAAGCCCCTCAGCAAATCACTCATTTCTACTCGGGGCGTTCAGCTTCACAGTCACTCTTAAATGACTTCCAGATGACTTCTGGACAAATGGTTACACTGTTTATGAAATACTACAACAGTCATGGCAGCATCATTTTGGAATGTCAAAATCAACTAGACTGTACTGTAAAAAAAAAAAAAAACCATATTTTTACCATGTTTATATTAATATGGAAAATAAATTCCCTTCCATGCCTAAAATACTGCCAGAAAATTAAAGACTATTTTCAAATAGTCTTTAAAAATAACACTTGGCTCTCCTAACTGAATTTATTTTTGAAATCCCATACAGTATTTAACGTAGGTACACCAACCCAATTTAATGGGCTTCATTACTGCAATAGCAGAATAGAGAGAGAACATGACCTAGCTACAAAGAACTAGCAATCAAATTCAATTTGGTTCCAATTAAAAGTCTCGGTTGACAGAACTCATGAGGTTGACATATGCTTGGTCATTTGAGATGTTAAGAAATCCAAGATGTGAACTTCACAAAACAGAGATTAGACAGGTTTGACTTCATAGCTAGATCCTCCCCTACAAAATCCCTGAAAAGTATAACTGGCCGTCACAGGCATCAGTAAAGGTGGTCTACACAAAATGGCTCCATCCAGAACAAGGGGAACTTCTCCACTTCCTGTCTAGTGCATCACAAATCACACAGTGGTGACACAATGGCTGAATAACCACTTGTTAGTGTCCTTTCATTACATAATTACTTCTGTAAAAAGAGACTAATCCTAAAGTCTAAAACTACATGTGACAAAAATTAGAAAAGGGAAAGCATCTTAAAGCTTCATTAGGGGGGGTGAAGGTGGAGGTTTCAAATGAACATTTAATTCCTTTTTAAATAAATTTAAAATTTTAACTAAAAATTACCAATGTTGTTATAAAATAATATTCACTAAGAAAAAAATATAGAAGGCACAAATAAAATGCTGTATATAGTTATTCCTTCTATCCAAAGGTAACATTTGGCAAATATTCTACTGCTTTTTTTTTTATGGACTTTTAAAATAGCGAAATAAATACTAGTTAGCATTTACATAACACTCTGTGTCAAGCACTTAACATATATTAAGTATTCTGTATTCACCAAAATACTACAAGTGAAGGATTATTATTATCCACACCTTATAGACAAAGAAACTGAGCAGAGAGAGACTAAGTAACTTGACCCAGTTCACAGACTTATGACAAGGAATCTCTTCTGTTCAATTTTTGCTTTGGGATCATTATGTTCAACTAAATAGTGTGGGAAGAAAAAATTCCCCTTAACTTTAAAATTAAATCCTTAACTGCTATTTCAATACTCTGTCAGAGCTGGGAGAACAATCTCCATATCTTATTTGAGCCCTGTTCTTCATTCTAAGGGAGGGGCCAAGCTAAGATAGAAGACATTCACTGACTTGGATCTAATGCTCAACAGCTGGGGTGCACGGCACCATCTGTAATATGAATGTAGATTCCTTCAGGGCTGTATCTTTTCAAGGCTCTTAGTATCAAACTGTCATCTTACTACTTTCACAAACTACATAATCCATAAGCTTGGGCTTTAAAAAGCTTGTATTAACTTGATTTAAGTCTGGTTTTATTTTTCCACCAGGATTCTTAAAATAATGTACAGTTTCCAATTCATTTAAAAATGAAAGCTGTGTATTTTGATTATGGACTTCAAAAATATGTGCAGAGCACAACAAAAGGAAGATTAAAATAAGCTGAAAAAAAATTTCCCCAATACAGACTGTTCAAGTGAAAATGTGAGATACAACTGACCAGTTCAGAAACTTTCTGAGCGACCTGGTTGATGTCCCATCAACCCACCTCCAAGATCATCTGCAAATGGCCAAGGAAATCTATTATGGGCTTCTTTGCTTGCTGCTAGCTTGCTGTCAAAGCTGTCTGTGCATTATTACCCTGGAACACCTTGTGTTATTTTTTATGGTTCTGTTACCACACAGCAACTCCTTCAGCAACAATGGTAATTATGGAGAAGCCTCCTTATCTCAGGATCACACTGTAATTAACTTGTGTCACTGCAGCATTCAACTGCAGCCAAAAAACATGGCCTATGGAAGTAACATTTTTTAGTTCTTTCTTTCAAAAATAACTTTGGTATTTACACTGTGTAAAAAGTCAAGCATGTTTTCCCCCAAAAAATATGATTTCCTCTGCACAAAGCCCACTGAAACCTGAACAGGAAACATTAAATTATGTCCACAGCAAAAGCTTCCAAAGAAAATGGGTATAAAAACACATTTACAGGACTGGAGGTGTGGTTCAGGTAGTAGAGTGTCTGCCTTGTAAGCACGAAGCCCTGAGTTCAAACCCCAGTACACCCTAGAAAAAAATTTTAAAAGCCACATTCACAAATTTCTCAAAGTAATACTTACAGCTCTTCTAGAAAAGGAAAGTTCTTAAATGCATCTTCTGGTAGTTGAGTAATATTGTTCATACTGATATCCCTAGAAAAAAAAAGTGAGAGATATTGTTAACTAAGTGATATCAGTATTAAAGGAACTTACTTGGTGCTAATATTTCATACAGAAGCAAGAAAAATGTGCACAACAATGTATAAAGAATAGCCATGATTTGGTTTCAGAATATAATGCTCAGAAAAAAGTAGAAAAGTTAAATCTTTTCCCATAAATTATGCTCTGTGATTTAGAAATATTCCCAGAACCTGGAATTTCTCCCCTGAGTGTCCTTGGGAAAAAAAATGTCTCAAACTACCTACAATGAGGGGACCAGTGTGACTTCCCAGTAAACTGGTATTCAAATGCTGTTCTTGATGAAAAAAATAAACAAATACTCCAGCACTTGATCAAATGGATTTGCAGGCCAATGTTGCTTCTGATTGATTGTTAAGAACAATAAAAACATGTACTAGTCCTACCCAGTCATGTTTTCTTTAAAACGCATCAAAAGTCCTCCAAGTAAGAGCTGTAAGTGGATTTCATTTTTAGCCTATGAACAAATGCAGGCTAGAGACATGTGCATACATGATAGGTATGCAGTCCATTTCCAGTTTTCCCTTAGAGCATCCACAGAAAGAACTCACTCAACGATGTAACTCAACAATTAACTAGTTCAAACAGCTAAAAAAAAATAACTTTATTAATCATTCTACTCTTCCTTGGCAGCTCCCTTTGGATTGACTTTCTCTTCCATACTCCACTTGACATCAACACTGTGAAAGACTCAGTCACATTAACACAGTCTCAGAAAGGAAAGTCCCGGAATACACTGGGGTAAGTGGGCAACTCCCTCCACTTCCTCTCTGCCTCTTATCTGGCAGTGAATTCTGTGGCTGAGCCCTCTGGTCTCTCCTCTGCAGAAATGGCAATGAGATACCATATGTATTGGCATGAGAAAGCAAAAAAGAATTCAAGTACACACTCAAATGCAGACCAATGTCAGTCAATGACAATCAGAATATGTTATTGCTATCACTTCACTCAGGTAAAGATCTTACCTTAAGAAGAAGACACTTTCAGTACCCTGGGAGGAGAGCCCCTTCTCCTCACCTTTCCTCTCACCAAAATTTAGAAATGGAAATCACATCCCTTCTTGCTAGCCTTTACCAAGGCAAGTCTGGAAAATACCTTGGATCAAGAATAATAGGAACAGTAGTAGCAGGAACAAAGACTGCAGGAACAGCAGTCACCAAGATGGAACAAATGCGTGTAATGTATGACTGAAGGTAAAAATCTCTCTTTACTCATGGAGAAGCTGGGGCTTACTGTAATAAGATAACCTCTCCAAGACCATTCAACAAGGAAATGTGAAGGAACTGAGCTACAGAGTCCATGATCTTAACAGTAAACTATGAGCCTTCAAAAGTATTAATTGAATCCTGTTATTTTCTCCACAGCTAGTCAAAATATGAAGCAAACCCTGAGTCCCACCAAGGTTAAAAAGAAGAAGGAAAGGGACTAGCACTATAACTCAGTGGTAGAGCATATGCTTAGCATGTGTGAGGCCAGCAATTCCTAGCAAACCCCTCAAAAGGCAGGAGGGACAACACCAAGACCTTGACCTAATCATCAATGAATCCCAGTAAATATACTTTTACTTACAACTAAAAAAAAACCTATAAATAGCTTTAATAATTGAAAAATCAAAGCTCACATAAATTTCTCACAGCAAGAGACTTTCCTTTAAATGATCTTATGATCACATAAACCCAAAAGCACTCCAAAATTTTGTATCAATGAAAACAACTGAAAGCCCACTAAATATAAACTTAAAAGAAAAATAAAAAGAATATGCTTTTCAAGGAACTACTATTTTTAAACCCAGGCCCCAGTAATACTTTAGCTAGTAATTGTTATCCTTTGGGAAGGGGAGAGGAACCCTTTTGTTTTTCATAAACACTTTGGCAAAAATACTAGAAAAATTGCACCAAAATAGGGATTAGAAAAAGCAGGTTCAACTCCTACCACTGACATATGGTCAGTTTGCTGGGGGGGAGTGGGGAGGATGTGTAGCTAATGGGCTGTGTGGCTTCCTTGGCTGATGTTCTATTCTTCTGTGATTCTGTATAACCCCATGAATAACTGCCTTCTTGATGAAAACATACAAAGTTCATTTTACAGACTATTTCTGAAAAATTTACCATGATACAAAATGAAAAGACTAGTTTCCTTCATAAAACTATTGAGTCACCCCTCCTGAAAGCACATTGTCTCTCACCAATAAAATCATTCTTAAGAATACAATAAAACATTTAATTATATTGAAAGGCAAAGTAATAATCAGATATGAGTAAATAGTGATTCTGTAAAATATCCCATAATTTTGGCACTTTTTTAGTCATTCAAATGAAAAGAGAAATTTATTAATTTATTGCTTTACAAAATGAGGCACTCCATAGTTTCCTGTAAGCTTGGCACATCTGAATTCAGGTGACTACCACAGTAACAGAAAGACTGATTAATTGCTTCATCAGAAAAAGACAAGTAATTAGAGACAACTTAAACCACACTATTTTCTACATTCCAGTTCTTTAACACACACACACACATGCATACATACACATGTATACACACACACACACTCATTTTTTCCTTTAGATTAACAAGACATAACAGGTACTTCTGCTATGAACTGTAAATCTGTAAATGCAATTAGTGAGAGTGTATTTACAAACTAATGTTAAACACACTATGAGGTTCAGATTCAGAAGAAACACTGACTTCCAGATGTTTTTAAATTTTTACACACTTTGGAGAAGTTCTCTCTTTACTGGTGTTTTCCCTCATATTTTCTGGGTTTCAGTTACAAAACACTTATGAATAAACTAAAAGAGATGTAGGGGGTGTACGAGATGTTATCTCCGGAGAAGCTCTGGAAACGTGGTTTCACAGTATAAGGTGGGTGGGTACTCATTTAAAATAATGAGGCTAATGATGATAAACAACCCACAGACAGTATTAAGAGCAGATTCTAGACCTGACATCACCAACCAACCCAAGGTAGTCAGACTTTATAAATAAGTAGTTAGAAAGGATGCTGGGGTGATGCATTAAACTACAACAACTTACAAATGGAAGCCCAATGCCAGTAATTACAAATATGTGAAGCTCATAACCACATGAATTATTAAAATACACAGGTAAAAGAAAGTTACTTAGAAAATCTTCAGCTAGAAGATGCTTCTGCAAATCAATACCTTCAAACTTGCAATCTTACAAGCAACATCATTAATTAAATCTAATGATTTGTCATCCTGGGCTCCTACCAAGAAATATATATAACAAAGAAAACAAAACAAAACAAAAATCATACAAGGCCAGAGCACTACCAAATCACAACATCTGTGAAGGGCACAAAAATCTCTGAAGGTCGGAGCACTACAAAGTCACAAACATCTCTGATAGCTTTACTCCAGCTATCCAGCTGGGCTTGAATAGCTAGACTTTAGACAGACCTCAGAGCCAGACAGACTTGGGTTAAGGTTAACTACCACTAGCTGTGATCTCTGGCTTGCTGTTATCTTTCTTGAGGCCTGTCTTCTTCATTTGTAAAACGTAGGCAAAAATGACTGAACCTTTTAGAGTACTGCGAAGATAAAACAATGTCAAGTCACATAAAATAAACTCATCATGCAATAGCCATTGTCTTACCATCATCTCTGCTTTTGCTAGTCCTAGAAGCCATCTATACTCAGTGGACCGAGACAGGACTAAGAGGAGGTCAAGCATCACATTGCCTTTCATGGCCTTCCCAGAAAGAAACCACTTTTACAGAAGAGGAACAAAAATGCTGGAGAAGACCTAGAATTGAGATTTGGTCTTAAATACTCACTGAAACTCCAGAATTCCAGGAGTCAAAGATTTTAAGCTGCCAGCACCCTTCAAGAATAAATACTTCATTTAAAAAATAAAAAAATTGAAGCCCAGTATTGGTAGTCATAAATTGTTAAAAAAGAAGTTACATTCTTATAGGAAATTTTTGGAAGGAAAGGAAAGTCAAGATCATTCTCAAAAAGATCAGGAGGACTACAAGCAGTTTAATGAGGATGCTGGGGATAGAACCTAGAACTTTGACATAGTGGGGCATATTTGTTTTCATAAAAGATTTCTTTGTAGTTCAATCTCTCAAGATACACCAATGAGGACAGAGTGTAAGTCTATATTTTACACTTACATTGTGCAATACTCCCAAATTTTTACCACAAAGATCAGAAATAAAAACCCTATTAACTCACTAGAAAAATAAACCTAAATGCCCAAACAACAGCAGTCACTGAATTTCAACATTAAAATTTAAAGGTTGCAATTGTTTAATTGAACCTGACAAATCTCATCTTTTTTTCCACCATAAAATTCACTAATGCTGAAGTATCTACAGAGTAGAGAAGATCATGTTTCAACAAGGTACCTTTTACAGTCCCTATAAAATGCTCCCCAAGACAGCTTAACCTGTTTGCTGGTGGCCATGCATGTGCTACTGTGGACTCCCATTGCATCCTCACTGGTCTTGGACTTCTGCCATAGCACTATTTAATTTTAAATACACTGTGACTGACCCAGTGTTATCTAAATATGAACAAGGCCTCCAACTTGTACTAGATAAAACTAGTCATACTGTCATATTGTTGATTATATCTGAATTATTTCCTGCCAGTTTCAAAAATCACTAAATCACATACAGGTTCTAGAGAACATAGGGTTCTTGAATGTGTTCTCTAGAAAAAAATGGGCATATAAATGTTGATAATGACCAAAAATAATACTTTCAGCTGGGTGTGGTAACATAAGCTTATAATTCCAGTGTTCAGGTAGCCAAGTCAGGAGGATCTTCAGTTCAAGGCCAACCCAAGCTAGAGTGAGACACTGTCTCAGAAAACCATAGGCTAGAGATATAGATAGATCAGTGGTGGAGTACTTGACTAGCATGTGCTAGGCCTGGGTTTGATCTCTAGCACCACAAAAATAAATAAATAAATAGACAAATAGAT